TATTTCTAAATTAACTTTTAAAATTTTTTTTATAAAAATTTAAATTTATCACACATAAACAATACTAACAAACCAAAAGCCCTCACAACTTAAACCAAACACGTCCTCAGCAGTGTTCCCACTTATGGATCGGAGTGATACCACTCCGCCATCACGTGAAGAACGACAAAAGGTTTAGTTATAGGAGCAGTGCTAGGGGCACTCGCCTCCGGCATTCTCCGGCCAACACTTTCACTTTTATTGGGCCACGTTATCTCGATGCGAAAGGTTGCATTTCAGAGCCTAAAACGACCTTACGTGGCCCAATGAAAGTGGAAGTGGTCGCCGGAGAGTGAAAGAGGCGAGTGCCTTATAGAAGTCAAAAAATTTCTGTAAAGAATTCTCAAAAGATGAATGGTTGAACAAACTTTCCACCGATGAATGGGCGATGGAAATTTCCTAGAAAGGCCCACCAATACCTCTCAATCTCATTCTGAAAAATCATAGAGGGTCATCGTTTACCCCAAAAGGAAGTCATCGAGAATATTAATACCAGCCTCCGGATCTTCCAATTCCGACTCAGGCATCTGGTTTTCTAGGACGTTTGGGAGAAGAGGTGCAGCTTCAGCCATCCAGCCGATTCCCTAACCCTAACCCACGAAGATTTGTACTACTTGTTCAAAAAAAGAAAAAAAAAAAACCCAGTATCATGAAATTACAGAAACGACCTTCAGAATCTCTCCTATACCCTTCATAGTGCTATGCCATAGTTTCTGTTGGAGGACTGATCCGATCCACCAATCGTGGGACTAGATTGGGAGCTCTGGGTGGGCGGCAGACTTGTTATTTGCAGCTTGCGGCTGTGAACGTTGACCTGTTTCGCCTAGAGGTTAGTCTCTGCTCTTATTTTCCTCATGAAATTATTGATTTTTTTTCCTTTGTTTATTTTTCAATAAATTTGAAATTAAGATCTAAAAATCCCATTGATTATATTTTCTATCTTTTTTTTTTTTTTAATTCCAAAAGTTAGTGAAAGGAGAGAAGCTGTTCTGTTCTTTAAATTCTATAAAGTGATCATCAAAGACATTAAGACTTAAAAGAAATTAGTTGAGTTGCAGTTGAGAAAAAGAAAAATCATTCTCTAGTCGAGGAGGATGAGTGAGGATGCTGTTGACGCCTTGAAAAAATGCGCGGAGGCGCTTCAACATGGGAATCCGAGAGTTGCAAATGCAGAGATGGGAAGAGTTCTTTTTCTTGCTGAAAAGGAAACGACGACTTCAACTAGAAAATTGATCGGATATTTTGCACAGGCTCTCGCTTGCCGAGCCTATGGACTTCATCCTAAATATTTTTCATTCCCATCACCTGACTGGAAGTATTGGCTTTGTAGAAAGTGTGGCCTTTTTACTTGTGTAGGTGCGTATATTTCAGATGTCGTCAAGGGAAAATGCAAAGTCCATGTTATTGAACTTGTCAAGCACATGGATGGTTATGAGCAATGGGCATCCATTTTGGATGGGGTTGATGACTGGGGTGACCTGACGCATTTAAGGTTAAGTTTCCTTGTACAAGAAAAAGTTGAATTTTCGAAAGAAAGTGAGGAGAAACTTATTCGGTCTTCCATTTACTACCGCATTGGGTTGGAATATAAGATAATTGCTGTTAACAGTTTCGCTGACATTGATGTGTCTTTGCTGGAGATGCGGGATGGCGAGTTTGTGGTTGTGAATTGCATGTTTGTATTCAGCAAAATGTTATCTGAGGCATTAGCTCTGGAGAAGCTGTTACAAAGGGTGAGGGATGTCATGAGAGTGGATGTTATGATTGTTGTAGAGCATGATGCTAACCACAATCAGTCTGATTTTTTATTGCGGTTTAATGAATCACTTAGATATTATTCTTCTGTATTCGAAGCATACTATAGTTTCAATAAAAGCGAGCAGTATTTTAGGTATCAAATATGCAACATGGTGGCGTGTGAGGGTAGTAACAGGGTGGAGCGGCACCAGACGTGGGCTCAATGGAAATCCTTGCTTATTCATTATGGATTTTCTATTTTTAATTCGTTTATTAAATG